GCAAAACTTATGTTTAACTGAGGTCAGTCCAATTTCCTGTCAATAATTCTTAGTCATAAGATTTTTGAGAAAGCATTTACAGTACATTTGCTTTTTATGTTTGATTTAGTTTTTTAACTTTTAAGACTTGTTTGGTATCAAATGTCATTACAACTTGTACCAATTACCTGGAAATGATGATGATTGATGTTAAAAGAAACTATATAAGCACAGATTACATGTAATTTTACAATGAACCTAGACATTTGAGGAAAAATTTGTGATCGATACCCAAATTTGGCAAGCTCGTTTATATTAATGTAAAATCTTGAGGAATGTCAGGCATGTTTTTGTGTGCTAAATGACGTGTTAATATAATTTTGATTTCCATTAGATAACTGTCAAAAAAGGCAACAGGATCTGAGTTTCTGAAAGCAGGAATAGTTTGTGGCAGTATGGGTGAGTTATATAATGTGTTAAGAAGTGAACTGAGGTGGATAACATTGTAAGCTCCCAATCTTGGATATTTAATTTGTTTGTGTGTCTGTTTTGTTTTGAGTGGGTTAATTGCTCCAACATGAACCCTATACACCCTGATATTAGTCTCTGTTTTCTCCATACTGTTCTCTATACATTCTCTAAGGTGAAGACCAAGAGAGTTTGTTGAATGATCAAGAGCCTCTTTAGCTGGTAATCATTTCCTTTATCCTTGTGACCTTAATGAGTGATTTGGGAGTGATATTATGTGGAGAAATTAGATGCTAGTCACTCTTTGGGGCCATAGGGTTAAGTTCTATCCAAAAGAGTAACAACTGTTTAGTTTTCTTAATCATAAATAACTTCCAGTAATGTACCAATCATAATATCATTGACACTATTTTGTTTTCTCAGACATGATAAAATAATTGCAATTCTTTATTAATACCTTGATTCTATTGATGATGTTATTGTTTTATCAAACAAAATAAATGTTAATATCTTGCTCCAATGATTTACAGGAAGAAGACAGCATGGAGTGATTATCTTAGTGACAGGAAAAAACTGAGTTAATTTAATTGGCTGATCAAATAAACCTGACCAGCATGGTCTGACTAAATTTGTGGCTGTACCCAGGACAGCCAAAGGTCACCAAAAGCTACTTGTAAGACCTGACATGTAGGACCTAAGAGCACTTCTTTCAGTATCTTTTGCATTCATCTTTCAGTTTGCAAATTTTTAGTCTCAAATTTTATTATTAACAAGTAGATGAATTGACTTGCATTCAGGTCATTAAAATCTCTTTATTCATAAACCTGTGTTTTAATTGGGATCAAAGTTAAAATTCTGCAAACTGTAACTTTGCTAATTCATAGACCATCGCAGGAATTAGAATGAAGTGTTTCCTTTGAGGTCCATACATGTACTTGCATACACAGTTATTTGATGAAGGCAAAAGAGAAGAAAATGTAGGGGGTCTTATTGGACTACATAGAAGCAGACAGATGGCAAAAGCAAAGTCTAAGTCAGGTAGCAGAGTGAAACATGAATAATGGGCAGTTTGGAAAAAAAAAAAGAATACAGGTGGCTTATCTTGGTTTTATGCATATTTGGGTGTTAGCTTTTGGTAACAAATATTATCTTAGGGTTTGTTACGACCCTCAATTTATTGTTACAGAAAGACTATGGAACTTGAGGTTATTAGTTAACTTTTGCGGAAATCCACTCTGAGTGCAACCCAAGACAAGACTTGGTGTTTGAGAATTATCAAGTCCACCCTTGCTCTCCTTAACAATTCTTTTAAGAATAATGAAAAGTGGAATGAACTTCCTGCAGACAAAATTGAAGCCATAAAGTATGAATTTTTCCTCCTCCTTGTGCTAACTTACAGGAATCTTGAACTTATGAATCTTAAAGGAGTTACAAAATGACATACTTCTAACACTATTATTAAAATTGTTCTATGGAATTATAACAGTAATTATAATAATTATAAAAATAATAATGATAATAACTCTAGATTCAAACACAAATATATAGTACTTGAGAGAGAGACTCCTGAGGTTATCCCTGTAAAGAGTGTACATCTACAAAATGCATGTGTACATTTTTGTAACAGCTTTGGTTGTGTCTTCCAAGAGATCTTGTTACTTGCTTGTTTTCATTGATATAAAATGTCTTTGTCTGATGATGAGAACATGCAGATCAACAGTGAAATTAAATATATATCAGAAAACTGATAAATATACGCGTTCTTTATTTTTCAATTACATTACTGTGGAGAAAAACTTACAGTCTGAGATATGCACAAATTCACTCTAATAGGGTGTTCATAAGAAATTGCTCACTTTCTGCGTCTTCATTGTATTTACTTAATCATAGATCTTTTGTTTTTCGTCTTAGGTTGTAGGTATTACAAATCGTTGATTAAACACACAACCACCCCCCTACCCCTGCCCTCCTAATTATTGTTTTCGTGTCCAGACTCTTGTGCGCAGTAAGATGAACCCAAAGTTTCTTTGTTCACCTCTCCACCAATCTTCGCTGTTACTGACCGGTTTAAAACTTTGTTGAGATCTAAATCTTAGCTTTTATTCCGTTCCAATGAATTTCAATTCTCCGACTCCGTTTCTCTTCTCTCTTTTATTTCGTGAGTGGGCTCATATGAGATTTTCGTTTTCGATCAGCACTTATTTCGACTCCTCCTTGTTACCCAGTTCACAAATATAGTGAAGTGTATTTTAATTCTCATAACAGTATAAATTTCTTTTCTCTTTTGCAGACATTTCAACTGGGGAGGAGCGTTGTAGAAGAGATGATCCTTCAGAAAATAAACGTAGAAGAGTAGCAGGTATTATAATTATCAAGTAAAGAAATTTCATATTAAGCTTTCGTTTTAATAACTTATATTATGTTTGTGGTAGAGTGTCCGAGCGCGGAATCTGAAGGTGTTAGGTTCTGCTCCTGGTGAGGACTCAAAATTTTTCCTTTGTCCTACGCTCGTCACAAGATAGTTAAACTTATTTCCTTTCCCTTTCCTTATAACGATTTGTCATTCTGTTCAAGAAACAGCACTCCGCAAAATTTTATGAAATAAAAATTCCTGAAGTTTTTTTTTGTTTCTTTGGCTGTTTCATTTCCCAACATTATAGATCCATGATGAAATAAACGCTGGCAATTTAATCTTCCCTGCGATTTAAGAAGAGCTACTGACAGAGTGAAGAATCAAAGAACAGAGTGTGGGTGTGTTTTTTGCAGGGGGGAGGCGACGGCCGGGAAATTATCTTACCGTATTTATTCGATTAAACGCCGCGTCGCCTATTACATTTTGTGCGATTCGAGTGCGGTATTTACACGAGGGCGGCGTTCATTTAAAATCCAATCTCTTTCTTGCAAGCAATAGTGTAGTAACTGACCGTGTCAGTTTTGAAAAACAGAAACATGTTCCAGTGCTTGTCTAAAAAGTCATTTTTTATGTCGTTTTCTATTTCATTACTTACATGTTAATACTACTGCAATACATAACAATACATAATACATAGTGAATAGAGATCTAATGTCGGATATGCTTCCTCGACATCAGAACTGTTCCATTCAAAAGGATTTGTGTCTGGTTCACTCAAAATTTCCAACTACGATCAATGCTTCGATTACTGTGTGCTTTTTTAGTCAATTATTCGAATAAACGCCACATCATAATGCGGAGTGTATTCGAGGGCGGTGTTTATTAATAATTCTTCTCTAAATGCGGCGTTTATCTGAGGGCGGCGTTTAATCGAATAATACGGTAGTCCTTTCATGCCAAGGAAACTGTACTTGAGTTCGTGTGGTGTTAGAAACTTGGAATCGTGTGCATATTCATCCCTTCAATAAAAGTTAAATTATGTTTTTTTTAAAATATTTCTTAGTACCGTTGAATGTTGAGAAGTGTCAAGAGCAGCTTCAGTCTTATTACGACACCTTCAGTAAGGTGAAAGTCGTTCCACGATAAAGGGTAATTCGCAGCTCAATTTCGTTCCGTTTTAATCATGCTTCATAACATTCTTTTGTATTTTGTCGCAACAAGCCGACTCGCAAACAATTTGTTTTCTTGTCGAATTTTTGCTATGTATTGCTTCGTAGTTTTACGGTTCTTGTTTTAATCCGCTGAGGAAATTGAAGAAGTTGTAATTCTGCCAGCTGTGTATTCGTGAATACACAGGATTGAATTTGGAACTATTCATCGTCGAAGGATCACCAGTAGCATGTGATAGTTCGATTGCTTTTATAGAACAAGAATAAAGTTTGTTTCATGAAGAGTCACCACCAGTCAGTTCAAATCAGTTTTATAAATGAATTGGAATTGCTTTGAATTTTTTTTTATGCGACTTTTGTAAATACCGCGGAGTGCAGTTACACTTTCATTTCGCTGTTTACATCGCTGTCGCTTTGTTGTTTGTATTTACTCCTTGTTGTGTTTATGGAAGAACTCGCGAGTCTAGAGCACCTTGCATTAGTTTCTCGGTGTTTTGAAATCACTTTGTCAGTTAGCCCGCTAAGTAATAAGAATGCAGAACTGAAAAGACTGTTTACGATGAAAAATAAGACATTTTTTCAGTTTGTTTCTTTTTGCGGTATGCTCACCTTGTATTATCTGCATGGGCTTGTCAGGTACATGTACCTGTAGGACTGTATGAAAGGTAGTCACTGAATGATCTCTTGTTCATCATATGATGTAATGTGTATTTCTTGAACACTTAAGTTTATTTCTCGAACAAAGTAATCAGTATGGGCCCCACCATGGATATAATTGGATGATATCTAAATTTTAGTGAGCCTTGTGATGTAAGGCTACAAGGAACGTTCCTCAATATAAAAGTTGTTTTAAAACAACTCCGTCAAAAATACTCTTGGCCTAATTTCTCTTCATATAAAAAGTAACCAGGGTAAATGCGTGTGAGTTCAGCTGTATGTTGTTTAACAAGATGATGTTGAGTGTTGGATTGTGATTTATCACATGCAGGATCGCAAAGGGAATGTCAAACCTGAAGAAGAATGGCCAACAGATGAATACTGGAGAAAAAGTTGGAGCTTCGTCCATGGATCAGAGCAAGAACCAGATCCTGGGTCAGTTACCGACTTAGGTGACGAGGAGGAACCTCGGTCCTGCCTGGAAACGTAACTGACCAGGACTGGCTCAGTAGACCGCCTGTAAATAGTGAAACTTACCATTGGTCAGAACTGGCTGGCCAGACCAGTCCATCCATTGAGAGAATTCTTTCAGATCTTTTCAGTTAGAGAAGTCAATACCTATCAATCAATTGTATTGACTGTATTGAAATTTGAAAACAAGTTTGGGAAACCTGACTAGACAAGGCACATTTGAAGATGATTGGTTGGTCTGGTAGGTTTCTGACTAATCGTAAGAGACTTCATTGTTGTGATCAAATAAACAAACAATCAACGGTTGGATAAAAAATGAGGAAATAAATATTTTAGAATCACTAAGCTTAGGTAAATTGGTACCCTCACCAAAATGGGGACTCCCTTCCACAACATCTGTGAGAACATGTAGGATGTTTCTCTGGAGTCAGAGTGTCTTGTCCTTGAAATTGATTGTTGGTTTAGATATATTTTGATTTTAGGCTATTTTACGATGTTTCCTTTTGTTGGTTGTAGTTTTGATTTACAGCTTTGAGTTTCAAAATTTAATTTTCATGTTACTGAGTTAGAGACTCTGAGGAATTTTGTCATTTTTCTTTTTTAATTTACTTTGGTTGGTTTTTTCCTGCCCAGGTAATTGATTACTTCATCAGGCTGACTGTGCAGATAATTCTCTCATTTCTATTGATTAAAAAAGAGAAGTCATTAAAGCAGCCATTTTCCATAAAATATTAAATATTTTAATGTGGCAAAGAACAAAACCTTAACGTTTGATGGATGCCTTCACTAAAAGCCAAAAAAACAATGTGAAGATAAATTTCGTGATTTAGGATCGGTATTTTTATTTTCATGGCATTCGACATGCTGTGAACAAATTTAGCTGTTTTGTTAATAAAGGACAGGCTTCTGATTGCCTTAATTTCCAAACATTCCATTTGAGATAAATGTGAATAGTGCAATGTGGTTGAAATTTCGTCGTCAAAGCTTTTAAAACTCTGTTGAGTGTGGCCAAAGAAGGGAGACTGTGTTTAACAAGTATCTCCTTGACTCTGAAATGTAAAATAATTTAACTCAGTATTGTATTGGTTGTTCTCTCAAAACTGTCAAGTGAGTGACAGTTAAGTTATAGTGCTATTATGGCTGTACACTATGCACATTGTAAGATACTAACTCTATCTCCTGATTTTTATATATTGAGTCATTAAGGCTGATTTTTCAGTGACAAGTCCTGTTTTCAAGTGCTCAGTTTTGCAACTGTCCGTGATGAACTAAACTAATTTATATTGAATTAGAAAAAACGAAACCCCTGTGAGTCCTGTGATGTCAGTAAAAGTCATCACCACAAACCAACTAGATCATTAGGTTTCATCCACACTGTTGTGACTGGCTGCTTCAGGCCCGCTCTGTTTATGCAACTGCTGAATTGAATTCACATGTTCCAATTGATCAAGTAGAAGAGGATTACTGAATTGATGGGAGGACAGACCATGGAAAGTTACCCACCCCTCCCCCCAACTGACCATGAGGCCTCTATTTCTCATCGATCTCTTAATAATATATTCAGATTTCCAATTTCCTGTCCTTTCTTCCTTCCCGGCTTCTATCCTCAGAATGGTTTCCTATCAAAAAAGCCTTAGTCAGCTGCATCAATTTACAAACTAGGGGGCATGGGGTCGTAAGATATTTTTGTAATCTCCAAAATCCACCATCTTTCACTTTTGGATTGTGATGTACTAAAAAACCGTTTTATGAATCATGTCTGACATAAGTGAGGGAAGTAAATCGTGTATTTATACTGAAATAAAGAGAATACTTTGATCTGGTTAACGCTACATGAACGGTGTATCAAACCGATTAAAAATTGACGAAACATCCCGTACAACCAGTCAAAAAAAAAAAAAAACAGAGGGAGTGGCTGATATTTACTGCATGCCATATTTTTGAAAGATTCCGTAATTTCTGCTCTTACTGTGACGATCGGAAAGTCCATGAGTTATTTCTTACTGAATGTTTATATAATTATTTCCTAGCCGCATTAGGGTATGTATCTTGCTCCAATCAGATTGCCGCATTAGGGTATGTATCTCACACCAATCATATCACAACATTTTGATATCATGCACCAATCATAGCGTTTGGGTATTGTTTTCTTGTAAATAATGTCATGGAATCAGGGGGCTTTGCTTAAAGAATGAAATTAATTAGAAATTTTGGGCTCATTTGCTAAGTTTTATGATCGTGGCCTTTGCAGGTGCCTCGTCGTATGAGGTCGGGATTCTCGGGGTATGAAAGGTTCACATTTATTTTTATCGTATGATTTTTAAGAAAAAACGTGTTTTCACCGCTCCTTTTCTCACAACACACTCGCCAAACAACTTACATTCCATCAAGTACTATGAAAACAACGTCCAAAGTCCAATCAGGACATACCCAGTCGATGCACTTCATGAACATTAGGCAATTTTTTACGCGCTTGAATTGTATACATTCTAATGCATGTGTTCCCTGGATCATTAATAGTACATATCTTAATTATTAAAGTTTTGTACTGGTGGAGAGATGAAGCCCGCAAGAGGTGTTGTGTTTGTGGAAGTTAGCCCTGATAATGAAAGCACTAACACATCCACGTGCTTGTGCGAAATTGTCTTTCCCAAGAATATGGCTAATTTAACTTATGAACAATTCAAAAGCACATTTTCTTTGTTGATCGAGAGCAATTCATTTAATTGTGTATAGGAAATCGTTTCCTTTTGCTGTTAGGACAAATGTTATGTTTTATTTCTTAAATAAGCCCATGAATTGTCGTGATTGCCTTTCGATTGAATTCAAGAACTACAGACGTTCTTGATTACTTGCAGAGCTAGCTTTTGAGTAATGTTAGGTTAAGACTCTAGCAAAGTGAAATGTAGGATAACTGAAGTAAACTTGTTTATCTTTAAACAACAGCTCAGAAAGCCCTTGTTGGTATAGCATAACTTGAAATGTTGATCCTTTTTCTGTCACTGTTTGTAAGACAAGATACCTTTTGGTGTTTCCTCCCATGCTGCTGTTTAAATTTAAATTTAAAAAATACTTCACCCTCTATATTTGTTTTGAGGCTTTTGGCTGTTGTTGTTGTTGTTGTTGAGATGGGGTGCGGCAGGTTAAAACTAATTGAGAGTGTGAAACCCTCATTTTGGAACCTTACCCTATTTCAGACACTGAACTAAATTAATTGAATTGCTTAATCTGAAGTTAAATAGTCCAGCGTCATAATTCGAAAATGTCAGAATGCGAGCTGCTCTATTCTGCAATTTTTCCACAGGCTCCCCAAACAGTACTGCAGTAGTCAAAGTGAGATTGTGCTAAATCTTGGTATATAAGATGCAATGTCGCTTGTGGAATCAGGTTGCTAACACGTTTCATGTCCCCGATTCCACAAGCGATCTTTATGGTTAGTTTTTCAATGTGGCAATTCCAGCAGAGTTTGTCGTCAATTGTTACCAAGTGATTTCGTTAAAACCTGTTCCACCCGAATGACTTCCTTTGTGACTGATGGGAGCAGTAAGGGTATTAACCCTTGGGCCACATCCTGTCAGCATAAATTCTGTTTTAGCACGTTTGTTTGCGTTCATATTCAATAGGTCCTCACTAAGACATGATTCAATGTTACTTGTATCATTATCTGCATATATAAGATGCGTGTCATCAGCGAACATCCTCAGCTCATAGTTTGAGAAACAATTTGGAAGGTCATTCATGTAGGATAAGAATAACAGTGCACCGAGGATGGCCCCTCACCCCCCCCCCCCTCCCCCCGAGGGACACCACAGGTTAGTACACGGCTGTCAGACAAGGACCCTTTAGCTGAGCATTGTTGTGTGCGGTTCTCCAAATACGACTGAACCATTTTAATGAATTCCCAGATATAACATAAAGGTCAAGCTTAGATAGAGGAATTTTGTGGTCAACGGTATCCAAAGCTTTCTTTAGATCAAGAAAAATAACCGCGTTGATTTTCCCTATATGTCTATATCATATTTGTTAAATGATAAAATAGGTCTAAATCTTATCTAAAAGCGTTGTAAGAGCTTCCTTACTTTGGTGTTGGGAAATGAATGGAAATAAGTCATTCAGTAAAAATTAATTATCTTAATCCTTCCATGCCAAGGAAACTGAACTTGAGTTCGTGTGGTGTTAAAAACTTGGCATCGTGTGCACATTCATCCCTTCAGTATCATATTCGTTAGTGTATTTTAATTCTCATAACAGTATAAATTTCTTTTCTCTTTTGCAGACATTACAACGGGAGAAGAGGGTTGTAAAAGTGGCGATCCTTCAGAAAATAAACGTAGAAGGCTAGCAGGAATTATAATTATCAAGTGAAGAAATTTATATTAAGATTACGTTTTGATAACTTATATTATAGTTGTAGTAATGAAGTGTCTGAGCGCGGAACCCAAAGCTCTGAGGTTCTATTCCTAGGGGGGACTCGATATTTTTGTCCAACGCTCATGGCAAGACGATAAAACGTATTTCCTCATTTTGTATTATAACAATTTATTATTCTTGTCCTGGTTTACTTCAGCTGCTTCAATGCCGAAAATTAATGATCAATCGTAAAATCACGTGTAAAACGATATATATAACACGTAGGGATGCGAAATGCAATCGTAAGAAATGGCTCCAAACGACGGAAAAACCTTAAAACATTTAAGCGGAAAAGAAGAATCGTCAAAGCTGTGTACAAACTCATCTGCTAACCGAAAAAATCTGTTCCAATTAGTTTTCTTTTATCATTTGTTAAGAACGCGATACAATTGTGCACGTGCTACAAGTGCCCTTGCAAGTTTTCATTTTTAGTGAATGTCTTTGTTTTTTCCCCAAGTTACTTATTGAGTTGAAAATATTTTTTCAAGCTTCTCGCTCGATTGCAAACAAGAGATATAAATGTAGGTCACCAAATCCGTTTACTCGTCTGTAAAGGAATTTTTTGAATGGTGCCAGAATCAGTTGAGGGCGTTTTAAACTAATACCATGTGTCAAGAGAAAATAGCACCATGGGACCCAGACAACACAGCACACATTCATGGCATTTACATACCGTTA